TAGCCATTTGTATATTATTTTTGGAGCAATGTCTGTTCAAGACATTTGCCCATTTTTAATCAGGTTATTTGTTTTTTGACTTGTGAGTTGAAGGAGTCTATGTATTCTGGGTACTAATTTCTTGTGAGATATATGATTCACAACTGTTTCATTTTTGGGGTGCCAATGTAAATAGTGTGGTTTTTGTTTTTTCATTTTTTGTTTTTCTTACTTCAAATTCCACGTGTTTGTTGCTAGTATACAGGAAAGTGATGAAATTTGCATATTAACTTTGGATCCTGCAATCTCATTATAATCACTTACTAGTTCCAGAAGTTTTTTGTCCGTTTTGGATTTTTTACACACTATCATATGATATGTAAACAAAGACAATTTTATTTTATTTTGCTTTATGTATGCATTTTATTTTAAGTAGTTATCTTATTGCATGAGCTAGTACTTTAAGTACAATGTTGAAAAGAGGGGTGAGATGGTGCATTCTTGCTTTGTTTCTGATTTTGTTGGAAGGCTTTGAATTTCTCACCATTAAGTATCAATCAACTACTGACCTTTTAAAATTATTCTCAAAATAATCTATTTTTAGTTTTGGTAAAAAAAAAACCCACATATACATATATAAATTTAACCATTTCTTAACCTTTAAGTGGTGTTAGGTATATTCACATTGTTGGACAGCAGATATCCAGAACTTTCTGTCTTGGAAAACTGCAAGTCTGTACTCATTAAATGACAGCTCTCAATTCCCCTCTCCTCCCAGACCTTGACAACCACCATTCTACTTTGTGTTTCTAAAAATCTGAGTAACGTCAGTGGAACCATACAATATCTGTCATTTTGTGAGTGGCTTATTTTCCTTTGCATAATGTTCTCAAAGTTCCATGTTATAGCATAAGACTGTGAGGACTTTCTTTGTTTTTAAGGCTATCTAATATTCCTTCATGAACAGAAAATGTTTTGTTTCTGTATTCACATTTCTCTAAGGACATTTGGAATGCTTCCAACTCCTAAGTGAATAATGTTGCCATGAACACAGTTGTGCAAATATTTTGCACTACTATTATTAATTATTTTGGATTTATACACAAAATTGGATTGTTGGATTATATGGTAATTCTGATTGTCTCTATTGACTTTCTATTTTAAAATTATTAATTTGTGTGTGTGTGTGTGTGTGTGTGTGTGTGTGTGTGTAAAAGCATACATAACTTTATACATTGTTTCCACTATTATTGGGTACAACCTATTATATGTTAGATCAATTCAGAATAAGAATAATAAAATCTTTTATTTTACTTCCACTTATTTTTTCTTTAATTCTCTTCCTTTTTTTACTGGAGATCAAGATTTCTGACCTATATGCATCTTATTCTTCTGTTAACAGAAATTCTTTTCATATTTCTTGCAAGACATTTACACTGGCAGCAGATTTCCTTAATTTTTGTTCATATGAGAAAGTCTTTATTTTTCTTTCCCTTTTGAAGGATGATTTTACAGGGTAGAGAACTCTAAGTTGGTGGGTTTCTTCTCTCGACGCTTTGAGTGTTTCATTTCACTGACTTCTTACTTGCATGGATTCTGAGCAGATTTTATATGTAATTCTTATCTTTTCTTCTCTAAAAGTAAGACTTTGTTCCCTTTTCCTTTTTGTAGTTTTTTTAAAATTCATTTTCTGTGTTTTAATAATGATATGCTTAGGTATAGTTTTTGGCATTTATCATGGTTGATATTCTCTGAGTTTCCTGCGTCTTTGGTTTGGTGTCTGACATTAATCTGTGGATGCTCTCAAGCATTATTGTTCCAAATATACATTCTGTTTCTTTCTGTCTCTCTTTCTATTTTTTCTTCGGGGGGTGGGGTATTCTCAATATTCTATGGGACAATTTTGTGGTTTTTCCACAGTCCTATGATATTATGTTCTTTTCTGTGTTAGTGCTCTTTGCTTTTCAGATTTTGAAGTTTGTATTGATGTATTTTCAAGCTCAGAGATTCTTTTCTCAGCCTTATTCAGTCTGTTAATAAGCCAATTAAAAACATTCCTTATTTCAGTTACAGTGTTTTTGATCTGTGCTACTGTTTTTATGTTTGTTTGCTTGTTTTGGTACTTTCTTAGAACTTTTATGTGTTCTTTCATTGCCCATCTGCTGTTGAGTACTGTCTACTTTATCCATTTGAGCCCTAAGCTTATTCATCGGAGTTTTTTTTATAAATAACTTGTTTGACAGTTTTAACATCCTGATCATGGCTTTTTCTGATGCTTGCTCTATCACTTCCAGCTGTGTTTCTTTGCTTGTTCATTATGCTTTTTTTTTTTTTTGTCTTTAAAACTGCCTTGTAATTGTTTTCTTTATAGCCAGATATGATGTAACAGGGAAAAGAAACTACTGTAAATATGCATTCAGTAATGTGGTCTTAAGCTGTGGAGAGGGGGGAGCTGTGTTAGTCCATTTGGACTTCTATAACAAAATATCTTAGAGTAGGTAATGAATAAACAACAGAATATTCTGGCATATTTAAAGGTTTGCCTTTTTTCTCTCACAGGTGAATGCAGGGGGAAGATCTTTTTTATTATTAACTGTAGGATCCTGTTCATGCTTGTGACAGTGAATTACACAGTACTTTGGTTTGGCTGTTTTTACCAATATATTTGCTAGATTTCAGACCAGAGAAATGCTCATGCATTAAAAATCTCCAAAGAGGTCTCTAACACTTATAGATCCACATTTTATTTTAATGAGTAGTTCATATACTTCCCCAAATCTAATCTCTACCGTTCTTGTTTTATGTACATCTTCTTCCAGAATGTTTTAGTCCATGTTTTTCTGCTTGTAACTTTATGCCTGAAAATGGGTAATTTATAAGGAAAAAAAATATTTTTTATAGTTATGTAGGCAGACAATTCCAAGGTTGAGGTGTCACATCTGGTGCGGGCCTTCTCATTTGTGGAGACTCTCAGCAGAGTCCACTGTTGGTGCAGTGTATCACAAGGTGAGAGTGGCAAAAGTGTGTCCACATGCTGTTTAAAGCCACCAATCTACCCCCAATAACTCAGTAACTCACTATTTCATGAACAGATCAATCCATTCATAAAGGCATGGCCTTCACTATCTAATAACTTCCTCAAAGCCTTACAGTTCAAATACCATAGTTAGATTTTCCACACTCTTCATACTGTTAATAAGATGATCAAGCTTCAACATGAGGTTGGGGGAACATTTAAATTATAGCACAAACATTTATTTATACACATATTTTTTAACTACATCATAATTAAGTGGGTTTTAAGCACTGTTTATTTTATATATAGTTGTACTTAAAACAGCAATAATCTAAATAATGTCTCTTTCATAGGGTTCACATTCTGATGAGAAACAAGATAATAATATACATTAAATATTTGTATTAGAATCATGAGGAATTTGTAACCACAGTGAGAGAGATGGAAAACTGGGTAGTGAGAATTTAGGAAGGATATCCAGATTGGGCATTTCTAGGAAGATTATTGTTTACTTTGGCATAGCATAAGTTCAACTTAACTCTTTTCCAGATTTGACATATTATACTTGCATAAGTATAAAATTGAGAGTTTAGAGAGGACATCACTATTGGAGCTACAAATTTGGGAACAGGTGGCTTACAGCTGATTTTTAAAGTCATAATTATAGAGGAGGTTACCTAGGGTGTTGATAAGAAAATGAACAAAGAGGTCCAGAAGTGAGACTTTTGTGTCATGAATCAGAAAGTAGGAAGCTTTTTGAGAAGCAGAGGCAGTAATATTAAATGAGAAATTTGTAGTAAGATGTAATTATCTACTGTGTGGGAAAGGAGAGGTTTTATCTGAAAAATTTCCAGATATCTATAGCCTTTTTTTAGCGAAGAATGAAAACTAAACGAACAATAAGGGCAAAATTCTGAACCTAAGCCAAATTTCTGTTTAAAGGAAAGAAAATTGGTTTCCTGCTGAACCTGAAAGTACTTGATCCAATAAAGTATTACCATACTCAAATCAGAATAAGAAGGGAAAAAAGCACTATGTGATTCCCACTGTTGTTATAAGAATAGAGAAATAAAATAGGGTAAACAAATGTCAGATGATAAGCACTTGGTTGAAAATTATGACCAAGCGTAGGTGAAAGTTTTACCAAATATTTTCTTATGAATGACAAATAAAGAAAGAAAATTGTACATTAGAAAATATGTTAATACAATTTATTACATTATGGTAGTATGTAGGAAACATGTATACTTATAAATCCAATTTCCATTCATTTTTGTACAATCCTATGCCATGAGAATATGAAGAAACTTCTTTACCTTTACATGCTCATTTAAGCAATACTTATGTGTGGCTTATGGATATAGTATTTTTTTCTTATTTTAGATGTTTAGATAGTCGAAGCCTAATTACAAAAAGCAAAGAACATCATGATACACGGTTGCAGGATGTTGTAATTACCAACAGCAAAACATCAACTGAGGAGAGAGTTGAAATAGAACAAGCATTTCATTTGAGCTCAAACCATATTTCAAATTCAATTACAAATAGTGAAAAGTATTTAGGAATGAGGTGCAAAGAGTTCAATGTATGTCGGAATGCACTTCCTCCTAGAGAGGCTGATTGGATGCATGCTGAAGAGAAATCTGATGAGGGCAATATAACTGGAAAATTGTGGAGACATTGTGAGCATCTTAATCAGCATTCCAAGATTCATGCTCAGCAGCAGGCTTTTGAATATAGTGAACAATGAAAATCCTTCAACACAGAGCCAATATTATTGGAACAGAAGAAAGTATATATGGGAGAGACATCCTGTAAATTTGATTATGGGAAAGTCTTTCATAAGTTATCTGTTCTTGCCCAAGAGACAATTCCAGTATCAGAGAAAGCTTTTCAGTTTGACATATGTTGGAGAAAGTTCTGTGAAAATTATGAACTCACTGAACAGCAGAAAATACACACAGAAGAGAAACCCTATTAATATAGTGAATGTGATAAATCATTCATGAAGAAATTACCTCTTACAATCCATAAGAGAACACATACAGGGGAGAAGCTATATCTGTGTAATGAATGTCGGAAATCCTTTCACAAGTCCTCAATACTCAGCAAGCATCAGAATTCACACAGGTGAGAGACCATATGAATGTAGCGAATGTGGAAAAACCTTTCATGAGAAATCAAACCTCAACAAGCATAAGAGAATTCACACAGGTGAGAAACCATATGAATGTGAAAAATGTAAGAAAACTTACAACCATAAGTCATACCTCAGGGTACATCACAGATCTCACACGGGTGAGAAACCATATGAATGTAAAGAATGTAGAAAAACTCTCTACTGTAAATCACACCTCAATGTACATCAGAGAACTCACACAGGTGAGAAACCATATGAATGTAAGAAATGTAAGAAAGCTTTCAACCGTAAATCACACCTCAGTGAACATCAGAGAACTCACACAGGTGAGAGATCATATGAATGTAAAGAATGTGGAAAAACTTTCTACTCTAAATCAAAACTCAGCAGGCATCAGAGAATTCACACAGGTGAGAAACCATATGAATGTATTGAATGTGGAAAAAACTTTCATGAGAATTCAAACTCAGTGAGCATCAGAGAATTCACACAGGTGAGAAACCATATAAATATAGTGAATGTGGAAAAACCTTTCACAGGAAGTCACTCCTCAGTGGGCATCAGAGAATTCACACAGGTGAGAAACCATATGAATGTAGTGCATGTGGAAAAACCTTTCACAGGAAGTCACACCTCAGCAGGCATCAGAGAATTCACACAGGTGAGAAACCATATAAATATAGTGAATGGAAAAACCTTTCCTGAGAAGTCAGATCTCCCCAAGCATCAGAGAATTCAAACAGGTGAGAAAACATATGAATGTAAAGAATGTAGAAAAACTTACTCCAGTGAATCATGCCTCATTGTACATCAGGGAACTCACACAGGTGAGAAACCATATGAGTGTAGTCAATGTAGGAAAACCTTTCACAGGAAGTCAAACCTCACCAGACATCAGAGAATTCACACAGGTAAGAAACCATATGAATGAAAAAAATGTTCAAAAATTTTCTAAAGTAAATCAGACTTCAATGTACATCACAGTACTCACACAGGTGAGACACCATATGAATATAAAGAATGTACAAAATCTTCCTACTATAACTTGGATCTCAATAACCATAAGAAAACTCACAAATAGAAAAGGCCCTATGAATACAATGAGTGTGAATAACCTTCAAACGTAAATCAATCTTCAGCATGCATCAGAGATTCACACAGATGAGAAGCCCTATGTATGTAATGAATGTGGAAAAACTTTTCACCAGAAGTCAAACCTCAGCAAGCATTGGAGAATTTACACATGTGAGAATCCAGGTGAATGTAAACAATATAGGAAACCTTTCTACAGTAAAGCAGACCTCAGTGTACATCAAAGAACTCACACAGTTGTGAAACCATATGAATGTAATGAACGTAGGAAACCTTTCTACAAGAAATCAAACCTTACTAGTCATGAGCACACTTCAGGATGCACCAGAGAACTCACGTAAAAGAGAAAACCTATGAATGTACAGCTGTCTATTCATATCCACAGGGGATTGGTTTCAAAACTTTCCATAGATACCAAAATCCGTGGATGCTCAAGTCTTATATGAGGTGGTGAGCTATTGTGTAACTTTCTGCTGCACAATTTCACATCATGGAAAGGCGTTGGTGGTATAGTGGTGAGCATAGCTGCCTTCCAATTTCACATCATGTCTAGATTACTTATATTACTGAATACATTAAAAACAATATAAGTTTCAGCCATACTTTCTTTTTTTCAAATATTTTTGATCTATAGTTCATTGAATCCACGAATGTGGATCTTCTGGATATGGAAGGCTGATTGTAATGAATGTAGAACATCTTTTGTCAGAAGTCACACTTAAGCAGACATCAGAGAACTCACATGAGGAAGAAATACTGCATGGCAAAGAATAGCTATTTTTTCCAGAAAAAACAAAACAAACAAAACACACACACACACACACACACACACAGCACTGTCTTTTGTACAGACAGCTTTTTCAGCAAATGGTTCTGGGAAAATTATATACACTTGCAGAAAGATAAAGTTGAACCCCTCACTCAAATCAGACCCATTCACAAAAGTATTCAAAATAGATTTCTTATTGTTTGTAGGAGATAAAATTATAAAACTTATAGAGAAATAATGGAGTAAATATTTGTAAGTATAAGGTAGGTAACAATTTCTTAGAAATCACACCAAAACCACATTCTAGAAAAGGAAATAAAAAGATAAACTACATTTGATAACATTTTGACACTTATGTTTTTCAAATGAGGCCATAAAGAAAATAAAAAGACAAGTCAATTAATGTAAAAAAATTTTTAATTATGTATCTGTGTGAGGGGTATATTTCAGAATAAAGATGAAACTCTTAAAAGTAAATAATAGACAATCAAGTTTTTAAAATGGACAAAGGATTTAAATACACGTGTCTGCAAAGAAGATGTGCAAATAAGTATGTGGAAATATGAACATTATTCTGATTAGAGAAATGCAAATGAAAACCATAAGGAGGATAATTAACACCCAATAAAATGGCTATAATATAGACAATAGTAAGTGTCAACAAAGATTTACAGAATATGGAACTGTCATATTGTAAATGAGAATGTAAAATAGTGCAGGCACTTTGAAAAACATTTTGGCAGTTTCTCAAAATATTATCTAGAGTCACCGTACTAAGAAATTTCTCAAGTGTATGCAAAAAAAAAAAAAATAGATAGATAGGTAGATAGATAGATAGATAGATAAGTTTATGGCCAAACACTCATATGTGAATACTCATAGTACAACTATTTATAATTACCAAAAGTAAATGAAACAAATTAATCCACTAGCAGAAGGTAACATGTATGTGGTGTATCAGTGCCATAGAATACTATTCCCCAATCAAAGCAGATATAGTAATGATATCTGCTCTAACTTATAGAGAAATAATGGAGTAAATATTTGTAAGTATAAGGTAGGTAACAATTTCTTAGAAATCACACCAAAACCACATTCTAGAAAAGGAAATAAAAAGATAAACTACATTTGATAACATTTTGACACTTATGTTTTTCAAATGAGGCCATAAAGAAAATAAAAAGACAAGTCAATTAATGTAAAAAAATTTTTAATTATGTATCTGTGTGAGGGGTATATTTCAGAATAAAGATGAAACTCTTAAAAGTAAATAATAGACAATCAAGTTTTTAAAATGGACAAAGGATTTAAATACACGTGTCTGCAAAGAAGATGTGCAAATAAGTATGTGGAAATATGAACATTATTCTGATTAGAGAAATGCAAATGAAAACCATAAGGAGGATAATTAACACCCAATAAAATGGCTATAATATAGACAATAGTAAGTGTCAACAAAGATTTACAGAATATGGAACTGTCATATTGTAAATGAGAATGTAAAATAGTGCAGGCACTTTGAAAAACATTTTGGCAGTTTCTCAAAATATTATCTAGAGTCACCGTACTAAGAAATTTCTCAAGTGTATGCAAAAAAAAAAAAATAGATAGATAGGTAGATAGATAGATAGATAGATAAGTTTATGGCCAAACACTCATATGTGAATACTCATAGTACAACTATTTATAATTACCAAAAGTAAATGAAACAAATTAATCCACTAGCAGAAGGTAACATGTATGTGGTGTATCAGTGCCATAGAATACTATTCCCCAATCAAAGCAGATATAGTAATGATATCTGCTCTAGCAGGAAAGATCATCAACAGTGTCCAGCTATGTGAAAGAAACTACACCTAAGGAAACAACATAATTTATTTTTGCACTTAAGATATTTTTATAAAGAGAGGGAAAATGGCGGCGGGGCTGGAGTGGTGAAAGAGTAAATGCAATGAGATGAGTCATGGACATATCTAAAGTTTGATTGTGATTATGGTTATATAATTGTATTTTCTACTATTCCACATGTGTGTGATTTTATGTGTTGGACTGAGTGATAATTAAAAAAGAAAAGTTGAAAAACATGAAAATGAACTCTCTGCAGATGAATATGCTGTAGGTGGAGGTCTTTGGCAAGTACTCTTGGAAAAGTCTCAATATTTCATTTTCTTATTGGCTGATGGCCACTAATAGGATTATCCAATCAGAGCTGGCCTACTGCTCTTTCAGAAGCCCTTTTTTGAATATGGAGTATGAATAGGCTTCCTAGGTCCCTACGTGCCATTTTCTATTTTCTCAGGATTGGCATCTCTGCTCTTCACAGCTGGGCTCTGCTATTTTTCAAACAGTGTAAAAACACCATCCCTGAATCTCAGAGCAAAGACATGAGCTGCAGAGAGTGACAACAGCAGAATGAATGACTCTGCTAGTGTGTCAGAGATGGTGGGAGCAGATTCTCCCAGAGGTTATTGTTCCTGGGTCCATGCACTTCTCAATCCTGCCCCAACAACTCAGGCCTTCTGGGAACAGATTTCATAATCTGTGAGCTTTTTACATGGGGACCATGTCCACGGTCCCCAAGCATATTTCTCCTGAAGAGCAGCAGGCAGGAAGAGTAACTTATGACATACGTGTGAATGTACATCTTCCTGCAATAATTCACTGGTTGTGGTGGGTCTTTGCAGGAGCTGCCTGGTTGCCTTAGCATCTATAGGGGAAAAAAGAGAACAGACTCACTGTGTGCTAATTGCCCCCAGCGCTCTGAATCTATGTCGCTCAGGTCATGCTGGGCTTGGGGAAGGGGACTGTAGTCACTATTTGTTGTCACAGAAATCAGGCTGAGTCCAGGGAGAAATGACCCTACCTATCTACCTCCTGTTGCCACATTCTGGAAAACATCAGGAGGGTCTCCTTCTCCTGATTGGTGAGAGTATAATGACATCCTGGCACTCTGTTGTTTATTTATTTCTACAGTGTTCCAGAGTTCTGTGGGTGTTTCTTAGGTAAATTCCATAGTTTATAGTTGAGCTTAGTAAAAAGGAGGAGGAAAAATGGTTCTTGTCATCTTGTTCAGACAGGAAGTTCCAGTTTACAAATATTTTCTTTGACTCAGGGCTCTTCTGTCATTTTTAACTAATTTATCTAAATTGACATCAAAGGTCCTCCAACACAACAGTGATAAAGTTTAAAATTGAAAAGACTCCATTTCCCCACTGAACACTGATACTCTTCCTCCTATAGACTATGCTCCCATAACTGCATGAGTTAAGTTTCTGAAGAAGAGATCCTGTTTTACCCATCTGGTTTCTCTTAAGGTTCATGTGTATGCCTTTTGTAACAAGATAACTGTCATCTAAAAACACTTAGACCATTATTTGTTTGTGATTTTACATTAACTTGGAATTCCAGGACTGTGTTGATTGATTAGTTATCGTACTTAACCTGTATTGTTCCTGATTGCATTAGGGCTGCTACAGTCCTTTTCAGAAGTAATAATGTTTGCTGAAGATTTTTTCTTACAGATAGTTATAAAATCGTATGAATTTGAGTACCTCCATACCAGTCTATGTTTCCTTGAAAATATATTTTAAAACCTTAAAATAGTCTTCGTTACTGTATTTCTTAGGCCCTTGTAAGTAAGATGGAGAGCAGAAACCACATTGTGGCAGTTGTATCCACAACGGCTGGAGCAAAATTTGCGCTCAGATGCTAGAGATGGAAATGAAACCATTATTCACAATTTTGGTTATTAAAAAAAAAAAAAAAAGCCAATGTCAAGAAGTGGTGTTCTTCATGGTCTACTCCTCGTGGGAGTGTGGAGAACTTAATTGAAGCTCATTCAGGTCATCAATGCCTTCCTGCCTCCAACCAGAAGACACTCCTTAGTCCTCGACTTATTACATACTTCTCAGTAGCCATTGAAACTCCTCCTTGGTTTCGGTAACACTGGTGTCCCTGTTTTCTCTTCCTACTCTCTTGCCCTTCTTTTTAGTCCCCATTGGGAGTTCAAAATTAAACGTTTAAAAGACCCCATGTCCAAGACTTGGTATTTGTTCTTATTGGTGTTCTCTTGCTAGACAGCATCACCTGTGCTCAGAGATTAACGCTGGTTCTGGATTTTATCCTTGCTTCATCCAGATCTTCTCTATATCTCATGAGTTCTATTCTTGGTCATCTGATGTTTCTCAAACTTGACTCCTCAAACACAAAATGCTTTCCTGTTCTTGCAACAAAAACAAAGCCAATAAACAACACACACACAAAATTAAAAACTGGGGGAAATCGCAACAAAAACAAAGCCAATAAACAACACACACACAAAATTAAAAACTGGGGGAAATCGTGTGTGTGTGTGTGTGTGTGTATGTTTCTTCTCATAGCTATCAACAAAGGTTTTCCAAGTATCACAATCTAGATATTTGGAAAACAGATTGGTCCAGTATCCTCTCATAGTCACACAAATATGTGATTTTTGTTCGTTTGTTTTTGTCTCTCACATATTTCTCAGTTCTATCACCTCTTCACCTCAACTCTCATAACCAAGTACAAGGTACCATCACTCCTAACAATGCT